TTATAGGCAGCAAATAGGTGGTATTGTTTAATCCATTCAGCCAGCCATTGTCTTTCAATTGGAAAATTTATACCATTTACATTGAAGGTTACTATTGATAACTAATTACTTGGCCCTGCCATTTTCTCATAAATATTCCTATTGCTTGCTTTGGATTTTCTTTGTACTTTTACTGGGGGATTTTCTGCCATAATGATGACCATCTTTCTGTGTTTCTGTGTGTAGTAGTACAACTTTAAGCATCTTTTGTAAGATTAAATGAGTGATGGTGAGAAATTATTTCAATTTGTTTGTTATGGAAGGTCTTTATTTCACCTTCTTTATTAATGAGAGTTTTGCAGGGTACAGTATTCTGGGTTGACAGTTTTCTTCCAGTTAGCTGTGAGTCTAATTGGAGATCCTCTGAAAATAATTGGTATGTCTCTTGTGGACATTTTAGAATTTTTTCTTTATGTTTTACTGTTGAAAGTTTGACTACAGTGTGTCGTGGTAAAGATCTTTTCTGGTCATGTCTATAATGTGATCTATGTGTCTTGTGTACTTGGTTGTCCTTTTGTTTCTCCAAATTAGGGAATTTTTCTGTAATTATTTCACTGAATAGGCCTTCTAATCCATTCTGTTTTTCCACACCTTCAGGAACTCCTAAGACTTGTATATTGGGTCATTTGATAGTATCCCGTACGTCTCCAACACTGTTTTTAAGTTTTCTAATTATTTATTCTCCTCCCCCCCACCTTTTTTTTTTTAAGTCTGACTGAAAAATTTCCAAGGGTTTGTCTTCTGGCTCGGATATTCTTTGTTCTTCCTCACCAAGTATGTCGTTAAAGCTTTGCACCGTATTTTTTATTTGACCTATGCATTCTTCATTTCTATTATTTCATCTTGATTTCTCTTCAGAATCTCAATGTCATGGGAAAATTTTTCATCCATGTCATATATGCACTTCATTGACTTGTGAATTTGCTTCTCATTGCTTCTAAGTAATCCTATATTTAATCTTTTGAATTCTGTTTCAGGCATTTCATCAGTCTCTTCATCTTCACATTCTAGTATTGAAATGTTATCATATTCCTTTGAGGGGGTCATGCTTTCCTTATTTTTGTTTCTTGAATTTCTGTATTTATTTTTAGGCATTTGTGGGAATATTTGTTGGTTCTTTCCTCTGATGGCTTTTATCTTTGAACTATGTCTCTATGGTATAGTGGGCAGTCTGCTCTTTCAGTGAATACTCAGAGGCCCCTGCTGGGTGTAGCCAGGGAGCTCTGGTCAGTGCTCCAGGATGGGGCGAGTATCCAGGGCAACACCTAAGTTGGGTGTGGCAGATCTTCTCTTGTTAGCAGAAAGGGGGACATGATCACCTCTGTTGGTGTAATCACACCCTTACCTACTCTCTTCCAAGGTGATCACTGTGAGCTCACAATGCATGCAGTACTCATCTGTGCTGCTACATGAACCGCATAAACGATCTGTGCTGTCCACACTGTGAGCACAGATTCTGCCTCAGAGACCCACCCCAGGCAGTCAGGGAGTTCGGAGTGTGTGGAGCCCCTCACAGTGATTGCCCAGACACCCAGTACGTTCTGCACCCTCTTCTGCAGTCTCAGAATTCTGTCTCAGCACAGAAGGCTCCCACAGTCATGGAATGTAGAAGATCCACTCCACCCTGCTAGCCTGTCCCATCCACAGAGAGGCAGAGATGTTTCAAGAACCAGCTGCCTGTGGGTGCTCCAACTAGGCAGTTTGAGCCCTGGAGTTTGTGATATATTGAGAGGCTGGGGGCACCTCACAGTCTTATTGGGTACCCAGGCTCTTGCCAATCCTCCTAGCCACACTCAGAGTCAATGGGGAATGCAGATTTTTCCTTCTGGTAAAATGTCTGGATCACACATGTGCACAAGAGCCTCTGGCCGCAGCCCCTAGTTGTTTCACAACGGTGGCTTCTCCCCACCCGTTGCTGGGCACGCACAAGAGCCTCTGCAGCCAGCGCTGATGTCAGAATGGCATCTTCTCCCCACATGCGAGCTGGGTGCATGCTCCCGAGCTGCTGCCACCAGAACTGTTGACAAGATGGCGTCTTGTCCCTGCCAGTTGTTGGGCATGCACACAAGAGCTGGTGCAGCTGTCCAAAATCTCAGCAAGTTTTTGGGCACCATTGGGAGGCATGGGGAGAGAGAAACATGCCCCTTTTTGTCACTGGATTAGTGGGTACCCTATCCCCCTTAGGGCTCCAGGCAAGACTCAAAGATGGTGTGGTCTGCCAGGCTCTCCCTCAGCTATATAACCAGTGGCACAGGCTGCAAAGTCTGATATCACCTAGGTGTTTTGTTTTGTTTTGTTTTGTTTTGTTTTGTTTTGTTTTGTTTTGTTGTTGCAGGCAGAGTGGACAGAGAGAGAGAGAGACAGAGAGAAAGGTCTTCCTTTGCCATTGGTTCACCCTCCAATGGCTGCTGCAGCTAGCATGCTGCGGCCGGCACACTGCGCTGATCCAAAGCCAGGAGCCAGGTACTTCTCCTGGTCTCCCATGTGGGTGCAGGGCCCAAGGACTTGGGCCATCCTCCACTGCACTCCCGGGCCACAGCAGAGAGCTGAACTGGAAGAGGGGCAATCGGGACAGAATCCGGTACTCCGACCGAGACTAGAACCCGGTGTGCCGGCACCGCAGGCGGAGGATTAGCCTATTGAGCCATGGCACCGGCTGATGAATTCTTTATTTAGTGGAAAGTTAAGTTTGTGATTATAAAACCAATTGAAAATATATCATAAAAATTAAATGAAAAAATAACAAAGGAAGGAGGAGAGAAGATGTATGAGGAGAGGAGGGAGGGAGGGAAGGAAGGAGCTCTTAAAACCATTTATGAAATACATGAGTTTTGTCCCCTTTATATAAATTTTAAAAATTAAAAAAATAAGTGTATTTATTTGAAAGGCCGAGTTAAATGGTGGGGTGGGGGGTAGAGTGAACGAGCGATAGAGAGCTTTTTAATCCTCTCCAAATGGCTGAAGCAATCAGGGCCAGGTCAGAGGCCAGAAACTCCATCTAGGTCTCCCATGTGAGTGACCGGAGTCCAAGTACTTGGGCCATCTTTTGCTGCTCTCCCAGGCACACTGTCAAGGAGTTGGATCAGAAATGGAGCAGCCAGGACTCAAACTGGAGCTCCAATATGGGATTTTGGTATCAAAGGCAGTGGCTTAACCTGTTGTGCTACAATGCTGGCCCCATCCCAGTTTTTCTTTTTTTAAGATTGAATTATATGTTTAAAAGAGTTATACAGAGAGAAAGAGAGAGAGGCATTCTATCCACTGTTTCACTCCCCCCAATGGCCTCAATAGCCAGGGCTGGGCCAGGCTAAAGCCTGGAACCAGGAGCTTTATCCAGTTCTCCCATGTGGGCCAAGAACTTGGGTCATTCTCTGCTGCATTTCTCAGGACATTAGCAGGGAGCTGGACAGGAAGTGGAGCAGCTCAGACATGAACCAGCACCCAAATGGGATGTTGATATCACAGGTGGCAGCTTTAACCACTATGCCACAATGTTGCCCACCCCCCCCAGCCAAATTCTTAAAAATGGCACAATTCTCATCCTTTCCTACCCTTGGGGTCCTTCTACAGAGTCAGACCAGCTATGAAGGTTATAATTGGATGGATCACAGATATCCACAGTACCCTAGCCACTGACATTTGTGATAGGAGTGTCTCTAGTGGATAACTTTTGTCCCAAAATTGAATGTGTATGCAACACCTCTGCCTCTTTCTGTCATAAATTGAATGCATATGCAAGACTGCTGCCTCTTCTGTCATATTGTCATTTATGCTGCAATGGTCGCAACTTCCATTCTGCACCTATCTTGGCATCCCCAGCCCTCCTGCCTTAATATCTGTGGGGCTCGGATGCAAAGTAGAGAGCTGCCATCAGTAGTACGCCAAGATGTGAGTGCGTGGTGAGTCACAAGGTTCTACTGGCTGATAATCCTCCTCCTGGCAGCTCTGTTCCTCCTGGCCTGTCACTACTGTCTGCACACTCCTCTCCACTCTCTTTGTGACCAGCAGCTCAGAAGCTACTCTAGGCCAAGTAGATGCCAGTTTAGATATCTGGCAGTGCTCAGTGGGCATTCCCTGCTGGGTACCATCCTGAATCATGTCCAGGTCAAGGTGCTGAGTGGCAGTCATCAGGCAACAGTTCAGTATCCACTCTTCAAAGTTCTGTTCAAGATGTGGGAGCACACACTTGCTGCATCTCAATTCCAGTTTCTCATATGATCAGAGTCAGGGTGCCCCGAGAGTGAGTACAGTCCAGCTGGACCAGGCTACAGGGCTCCCTTGTCATCTGTCCCCACTTCCCTCTGGATCATACTTGAACTATGCAAGGGCATTTGACAGAGGCCTTCAAGGACTGGGTCTCTAAGTGGGTGCAGGGGCCAAGCACTTGGGCCATCTTTTACTGCTTTCCCAGGCCATAGCTGAGTGCTGGATCAAAAGAGGAGCGGCTGGGACTTGAACCAGTGCCCATATGGGATGCTCGCACTGCAGGTGGCAGCTTTACCTGCTACACCTCAATGCCGGCCCCAGTGGTGTCTCTTTAAAAAGCAAGAGGCCTCCTCTTCCAAGGACTTGATCACCAAGCTCACCTTCCTCCTGTGCTCTAGCCTCTGTCCTCTGTTCCCTTGGGATCCCTTTCCTGACTGCTTCTTCTCCTCTTTACCTCCAACTTCCAGTTGAGGCCATCACTTACCAGGGCAGTTGTAATAAACTCCTCACTGCCCCTACCCCCAGCCTGCATCCCTGTGACTTTTGGCTAGTGCATCAACCTGTAGAATCCTTAAACACATAAATCCAGCTCCTCCTTGTCAGCTAGACATCAGGCATACATCATCTCCCCAAAAGGGTCCCAATTGACTCCACCAGGTGTTCACGCCAAAACCGGTTTACTGTTTCCGTCACTTTGAGCTGATACTACATTGGGAATTCTTTTGCTTACTGCTGTATTGTCTTTCCTTCACCAGAATGTAATCACCAAGAGGGAAGAGAATTTGGATTGTTTCCCACTTGGCCCCAATGTCCAGGACAGTGCCTTCTACACAGTAAGTAGGTGCTTGATAAATATTTATTGAATAAGTGAGCAGATGGATAGATGGATAGATACATCCTTCAGAAGAGCCCCTGCTGCCATCCACTGGGCTTGTTGGGCTTGTTGGCAGTCTTCAGGATGTTCTGGGTACTGAGAAGAGAGGAGAGCCTTTTGTTGTGGTGAGCAAAGCATGAGCCTACCATAACCCCAGGAGACTCATCCAAGGCACTGTTGGCCTGGTGGCAGGCAGCCACCTAGCCACGTGTCTCTTTAAAAGCAGTAGGAAGCCAGGCACTGGAGATAAGAAGTGTGGTTGGCAGCATGATAGTGATTGGAAGAGGGCCAGAGAGTGGCAGGTTAGGGGTTGCCATTTGCCCCTGTGTTGCTCTCTGGGAATGCCCAGACTTCTGCAGCTGGTCGGCAGCCACAAATGCTTCCTGTGGAGAGCAAGCAAGAGAGGAGATCCCCTGTGAAGGCCCTGGAGCTGGGGCTGCCCCAGGAGCCTCAATGGGGTAGCCAAGACCTAGATCCTTTCATAACTGCCATTCATGGATACTTGGGAGGCTGCCCTAGGAAACATGTTAGGTCCATGTGCATCCTGCCTGTGCTCTCTATCCCTGTGCTTCTCTACACTTTAGTCTCTCCAGTGGTAATGTGAAGTCTGGGATGAACTGGGGTCTGGGTACTGGAGTCCCAAGGAGAAATGAGAGTTTAGAAGGCCAAGATCCTGGGTATGAGAGGCTTCCCAGGGGTGATGGATGGGCCTGGAAGAGCTCAAGCAAAAGGTATCAGGACAGTGTGGGACAGACCTTTGAGGCCCTAGGACTACTTAACATTCTGAAGCAACATAGCAAGAGCTGGCAACTCTGTCTTATCCTGGTTGGTTCACACTTAGTGTCAAGGTGGGTAATGGAAGAACATCTGGCAGGGAGTCTCGAAGAATTAGGTTCAGGTCTCATCTCTCCCCCTGTCTGGCTATAACCTTGGACAAGTCAGTTCTCTGCTCAAGCTTGTTACATCATCTGTGAAAGGGAGTTCCTGATCCTCTCTCATATGACTATGCTGAGCATTAAAGAAATAGCGCAAGTCATTCCAGGGCATCTACAAGGTTCATCTACTCCTACCAGGTCATCCCCTAGGGTAGTGAGGATATCTGTGGCCACAAACTAAGGAAGCTAAAAACCACTGTCCTGACTCAGTGACTTGCCCCACCCTGGCCTCCAGCCCAGATTCTGGAGGCCTTAGTCAAGGGGCGGGGGTCTGTTTGCCTAGGGCTGGGGTTTCCCTGTAGGAAACAGTGTGGCCTGCTGGAAAAGCCCTCGAAACAGCTGGATGTCGCCCTGTCTGCAGAGAGCTTAGTGCTGTCAGAATGGATGGGTGGACCAGTTAGACTTGCCCCCTCTGGGAAACCCAGATGTGAGCTGTCACCTGGACCTGAGTATGGTTCCTGTCTATCCTGCTCTAGCAAGGCCCTGGGGAAAGTTCAGAATAGGAAGCTGAGGTGAACTGCAAGCCTATAGCTGCTCTCCCCTGAATTCTGCTCAGTATCCAGCCTGTCCAAAGGTTCCAGCCTCCACGTGCCTGAACTGTCTAGGCCTCTTCCAGTCACATCATCATCCCATCCTCTCTTACCTGCCCCAAGGCTCCTGCCACCTCACCAAACACTGACCTGCTGCCTCCAGGCTCAGGGGTGTTTTATACCCTCTAGGCCTCCCCTGGCTTCCACGATTTCACCAGTCCTGGTGCTCTTTCTCCTTCCTGCTTGATGCTTACCAGCCTCCTCTATAGCTATCTTCTCCTCTGCCTATCTTCTAGGTTGGCAGATTCTTTGGAATTTGGTTCTTTCTCTCCAAATCCATACCTGCACCCTCCAACCAGGATCCAACCAGGATCCCTGCCTTTGCTTAATCATCCTCAGACTAGTGTTATTTTCAGACGTGTTTCTGCAGGCCCCTCTTTGGGGAGAAGTTCTACCATTCTGGAGCTACCCTAACTGTGGCTCCTGGGTGTGGAATCCCCTGATCTGGCCTCAACCTATTCCTGCCGTGACTTTTACGAGGTCTCTTGGCATGGGTGAAGGACTTTCCCCCAGGCATCCATCACAGGCATTTTCTTTGCTACCCTCTTGCCACACTGGCAAGTGACTCTTCCTCATCCTTGCACAGGCTGCTCTCTACCCAAGGAATTACACCTGATTCCCTCCCCCAACCCAGATAGGGCTGACTCTGCTCACTGCCAAGGGATGATGAGTGCTTGGCTGGTGTCCATGGTACCTTCTGGCTGAGGCACAGTGAATACTCAATATTAGGGAGGGAGGGGAACCTTGAAGCCATTTCTTTTGAGGAGTTGGGTATCTGAGAATGGCAAAGTGTGACCCTTTCCTGGGCTTTTATGTCCCAGTACAAAAGAGGTTTAAGCTGAAGCAATAGAATCTTACTGGGGAGAGGATTTCTAAGCATCAGCCTTCTGACCCATTTTCCTGGGGTCCAGGCTTGTTTGGGGCATTTTAAGGTAGTCTGTGCACATGTGATGCACAGCCCAGATCCCTCTTTATGGGTGAAGATGTTATTCAGCTGTTAGCCTTCCTTGAGGCTGGCCTTGAATAAAGTCCAGCCAATGACTGAGAAATTTGAGTTTTAAAGCTTGGCTCCTTCCCTTTTGGGAAAACTCTAAAAGACCACCCAGGAGAGCTCCCATGGGCTTGACTGGAACTGTGTGGCAGCTCACTGTCTGCTTCTGCCTAATCATTCTTTAGTTCTTGTCTTCCACAGCGGTGATCACAAGGCTTTGCCTCAAAAAGTTTCTGCATGCTAACCTCCAACTCAGTTTGCTTCTTGCTGCATTTCATCTATGGCATGTTGTTCCAGAAGGGATCAATAAAATGAGATGGTAATATGGGATTTTAGAGATTGGTCACCCCCACTGTCTGGCTGCCATTGAGGACCCCATTGCAGGTGAGGCAGACAGCCTCTGGCACATGGTAATAATATGATTGTGAAAACTTTTATTCATGTTGGAGGAGAATACATTAACTGGTGCAGTACATAATGTGTTTGAAAATTAGGGGAAACTAATTACTATAGGGACAATGGAACTGCTAAGCTTGACTGAGTTTCAGCTAATGCTAATGGAGAGCTTAGAGTGATTAATTGGCAATGAAAAGCTAAGTGTGAAAACCATAGGCCTCTTTGGTGCATATGGGGAACCATTACCTCTTACCATAGCAGAGACGAAGCTGAAAACCAAATCTAAGACTTATTTGTCAAAGTAGTTGGTATGGTTTGAATGTATCCCCCAAGGGTTTATGTGTATGATGCTTGGTCCTCAGTGTGGTGCTATTGAGAGGTGGTGGAATCTTTACAACATGGGGCTTAGTACAAAAAACTAGGTCACTGCTCATACTACCTTTGGATTGATGCTGGTCTTAGGAGTGAGTTACTTGTTCTTGTGAGAGTGAGTTGTTAAACAGCAGCAAATCTGATCCTTGAATCTCTCTGACTTCCTGTCCTGTCATGTGATCTCTCTATTGAATGGGCTCCTGCCACAATGCTGTCTGCCATGATGTGGCACAGGGGCTATCATCCAAGCTGGTATCATACTGTTTGGACTTAAGTTCCAAGCCTCTGGTATTTTTGTGATAGCAGTGAAAAAGAGACTAACATAGTAGTTAATCTCCAAAAGTTAAACAGCCCTGCAACAAGTCCTTGATACCAAGAGCAGAGCCCTGATTGGAAAGAATGAAGCCTGATCCATAAGACTAGTATGTCTGATGTAGCTGAAAATCTCAAATCATCAGTGTTGCTCCCCGTCTTCGTGGAGGAGCGACACTGAACCCTGCGCTGTTCTTTCGTCTGCTCGGCCCTCCCCGGGTTTGCTGCTGGTTCTTCCCGGGTTGGCTGCCGTCCCTTCCACCTCCGTGGAAGGGCGGTTCCCCCTGGCCACTTTCCCCACTTCCGCAGGGGAGCGGCACACCGCCGGCCGGCTCTCTCGGGGGATGCACAGGTGTTCCCTCAGATGTTCCCCTTAGATGTTCCTGGTGCATGTTGTCGCTCTCCTCCTTTATAGTCCTCTTCCGCCAATCCCAACTCGGCTGCCCACACGCCGAGTACGCTGCTCTCTTCCAATCAGGAGCAGGATCAGCTCCTGGAGGTCATCACTCAAGTTGGCAAGAGGCAGCTGCGTAGAAGCTGTTTTCTCCTCTCCCAGCGCCGTATTGTGGGAGAGCAGATGCATAGAATAAGTCTTAATTCCAGTAACTTAGTCCGAGTTGCTCCCAGTTGCTCCCCACAATCAGATTCCTATAGACACTCTATACCTGCAGAAGTGGCCCACTCATCCTTATTAAAAACTAGAGCTTAACTTTGCCTCTTAACTTTAAAAAGATAATGCAAGCCTATGTCCTACAGGATCTCTTCTCTCATTCTATCAGAATCTGTTCCCACATTACCTCTTGGCCACTGGGCCAATAACTAAGATTAAGTTATAACAGTGGCTGGCTAGAGATGTGCTTGGGCTGCTAATGGAGAAAAGAACTATACCTCAAGGAAATGTGAGACTTAACCAGCAAGTACTTGGCAAGCTAAGAGAGTATGCATAGGACTGGATTCTAGAAAAAGAGAGTGGAATAGAAATTTGGATTAAAGAGTTTTGTGGGTATGGGAGCATACTCTCTCTCTAGGACACAGCATTTAAAACTGTGGCAGGGCCCTGGGAGTTGGTGCAAATACGTTGTTAGAGTAGATCCTAAATGCATGGAGGAAAGGATAGCTCACACTAAGGGAGAGAAGTGCCAGAATTGCTGCGTCAAACTATTAGGAATGGACATATTAAGGAAGACTAGATAATTCACTGAAGTACCCAGAATATACCAAAACAATAAGGAATGTGCTGGGGAAAAGGGTACCAGTATCATTAAGAAGTGAAGTTGTGACTGTCTTTTCTAATGCCATGACTGACGGTAGGAAATACTGTCACAGAACTGGGCTGACTGTTAGCAATCAGGGTGATTAGTCT